AAGTGTCACAATACAGTGATACTCAAACTGTTCGCTACATATATTTTTAAGCTAAATACATCAGCTCCTAAATTGTTGTGTGTGTTGTGTTAAACTTATTTTACTTGTCTTTTTATTAACATAAGTGTTATTAAATCTTTCAATATGAAGTGTGATCTTGATAACTGCCAAATTAAAAGCGAATCTGAACGCTACTTATCGTGCTGGCTCTGTGATGGTATTTTCCATCTAAAATGTGCTGGTTTGACAGGAAGAATTCTGGACGCTATTAATGATGGCAAAGGTCTTCGGTCTTGCTTAAAGTGCAGGTCAACCGAAGTTGATCTCTTTAAGTTGTTTAGGCAAACCAGAAATGGGTTTTCTGAGGTAGGGAGAGAGTTGTCGGTACTGACCGAAAAATTTAAACATTATGAAAATGTATTTAAATCTTTTAAATGCTTAGATACCGTACAATCTATGAAGGACATTCATGTGTCAAAACGTAAGCGTCTTCATAGTCTGCCTAATGAAATGACCGTTCCACGTCAGAACAATCTTCCGAATGACTTAATTAATCTTTCTTCTCCATGTCCACAGACAACGGAGTTATCTTGCTCAAAAGAACATATATCAAAGTCTGCTTCTAATAATAACGACCCTGCAGTATCTTCCCCTTCCCCCGTTGAAGTTGTGGCACCGCCATCTAATCTTCCAACGCTTACTCTACCCTCAATTAGTAATTCAGTTACTCAACCCCGTCCGCCGGTAATCGAGTCTAATACTAGGAGACTGGTTGTGGTTCCCCCAAAGAAGTCTATATTTGTATCTAGATTTTCGAGGGATACTTCCGAGGACGATATAAAGTTTTACATCTCGTCCAAAGTTAAAACTGTCAACTTAAGTATCAGAAAATTTAATTTTAAATATGAAAGAAATATTTCTTCATTTAAAATAGACGTAAATTTAGAAAATTTTGACATGCTGCTTAGTAGTTCTTTTTGGCCCTCCGGAGCTTTCGTTCGTGAATTTGAGTATAGGCCCAACAAAAATAATAATTTAGCAAATATTCCCCGTCAGAATACAGAACCAAAAAACTGATTACTAAATCTGCTTTAAGTATTTATTATGAAAACGTAAGAGGCATAAATACTAAATTAACGAATTTATATCTTAATGGCCTTGAATGCAATTATAATATAATTTCTTTGACTGAAACTTGGCTCAAACCTCACACTTTTAATTCAGAGATTCTTTCAAATAATTATCATATCTACAGAAAAGACCGGGAGGACAGAGTCGGCGGTGGCGTACTCTTTGCCGTAGACTCTTCAATACCATCTGAAGAAGTTAGTCTTCCACACATTGAATCTGCGGAATTCAAATGCATTCGTGTTCAGGTTGGAAGGGGGTTTACTTACTTAGCTCTATGCTATATTCCTCCCCGATCTGACTTATCAGTGTATTCACAACATGTATCTTTACTGAAATCAATTAATTCAATGATTAAACCCTCTGATTCATTGATTGTGTTGGGTGACTTTAATTTACCAAATGTATCATGGAACATCACTGACAATGATATTGTACCTTTCTTGTCTAGCGCGTGCAACAACGTATTTTTAGATGAGATGGCTGAACTCTGCCTGAATCAAGTTAATGTACTTCGCAATAAGTTTGGCAAAGTATTAGATCTTGTTTATGTTGATGATGCATCTAAGTCGGCTGTAAATAAATGTGACCCACTAGTTTTGCCCGAAGATATCTACCACCCTGCTATTGAGATATCTTACGAAATTATAAACGATGGTCAAAATTGCGATGTCCAAACATACGAACCAAATATTCGCTTTGATTTTTCGAAAGCCAACTTTAAAAAACTGAATAAAGAATTGTCTAAATTGTCGTGGCCTATACACAAAGAAAAACTTGAGCAAAACGTTGCATATTTTAATTGTACTGTACATAGATTATTTGAAAAGTATGTGCCTAAACGCATGTGTGTTCCTGAAGAACAAACACAGTTGTGGTTCACTAAAGAACTGAGAAACTTGAAAAACAGAAAGTCACGTTATTTGATTCTATTTCTAACATGTTCGCTCAGTTTTTTAAATCCAATTATTCCACTAACTCCCCAGCGTACTTTGACTATCCTTTTAAACTAAGTCCAATTAATTCAATACATAACCCTATAATATCTCCCGATGATGTTTTAGTTTACCTGAAGTCCTTAAAGCAGTCTTTTAGTTATGGTCCTGACCAGATCCCCACTTGTTTTCTTAGAAATTGTGCTGATTATCTCTATGAGCCGTTAACAGCCTTATTTAATTTGTCTCTTAAAGAGGGCGTTTTTCCAACTGTATGGAAGGAATCGTTCATAACCCCCTTGCATAAAAGCGGTAGCAGGTCTTCAGTGGAGAACTACCGGGGCATAGCTAAGCTTTCTGCAATTCCTAAATTATTTGAAGCAATTATAACACATCGGTTGACGCATTCTATCACTTCAAGCATTTCATACAGTCAACATGGATTTTGCAAGGGCAAATCAACTTCTACAAATTTACTTGAATTAACATCCTATATCTCAAAAGCATTTAGTGAGAGCAAAACTGTTAATGTTATATATACTGATTTCAGTAAAGCATTTGATAAAGTGTGCCACTCGTTGCTCATCTATAAACTTGATCTTCTTGGTCTTCCACCTAATTATCTACGTTGGATCTCTTCATACCTCTATGATAGATCACAAATGGTATTGTTTAAAAATACTATCTCTGACGTCATTGATGTTACTTCAGGAGTCCCTCGGGGTAGCCACCTAGGCCCGATTCTGTTCTTGCTTTTTATAAACGATATTTCTACAGATATGAAATTCTCCAAAATTTTAATGTATGCAGATGATGTAAAACTTTATAAATCGTACGTTTCAATTAAAGAAAGGTCTTTGCTACAATCAGACTTAAACAGCATGGCTTACTGGTACAAAGTAAATCTTATGCCTCTAAATCTTAAGAAATGTAAAGTAATGTGCTTCTCGCGAAGAGCTGTTCTGCCAGTTTCTTATATAATAGGTAACCATAACCTGGAACAGGTATACAATTTTGTGGACCTTGGTATCACAATGGATCCTAAGCTTAATTTTAATCTTCACATTAATGTGACAGTCAACAAGGCTAAAGGTGAACTTGCATTTGTGAAACGATGGTCAAAAGAATTTAGTGACCCTTATATCACTAAAACCCTGTTTACAACATTAGTTAGGCCGATTCTGGAATACGGCTCGGTGATTTGGAATCCAAGGTATCAAATTTACTCAGACAAGATAGAATCAATTCAAAAACAATTCCTACTTTTTGCTTTAAGAAATTTCCGATGGGATTCTCAATATAGTCTTCCACCTTATACGAGTCGCTTAAAACTTATTAACCTTCCTACACTTGCCAGTCGCAGGGAAATGCTTGGTATAATTTTTATGGTTAAATTACTGACAGGCTCAATTTCTAGTCCGTCTCTTCTGGCTGATGTAAGCTTTAATGTTCCCTCACGCGTATCAAGACACTTTTGTCCCATATTTCTGAAAGCTTGTAAAACCAATTTTGAATTACACGACCCACTCCGTTGCTTATGCCAGGATTTTAACTCTCATTCCAGCACGTTTGATATATCAGAACCGCTTTTCAGCATTAAGAAAGCGATACTCTCCTCTCTCAATAAGTGAATTATTGACATAAATACATAAAATCAGCTGATGAATTTAGTTCTGTAGCTGAACAGTTTTAGATCTCGACACTTAACAAACTCCTGCCTATCGTGACTCGGCACAAAAATTTAAAATATTGGTTCCGTACGTCATGCGGACTGCGCCCCTCGTGCGGATGGGCGGGAATGGAGGGTAAAAACCGTTGGGATATTATTATTATTAATTATCACTCTTTATATCTTTATAATAATATAACCTAATTAATAATAATAATAATAATATAACCTAATATTATTATTATTATTATTAATTATCACTCTTTATATCTTTATAACCTAATATTCTTCATATGTATAACAGAAGAGTCCACGATCCAAAAATAATGTTTGGTTTAAAGCATTGATTCAGCTTATGCTCTGTGTTTCGGTTGGATCCTGACCCCTTCATACTCTTTGGATTTTCGGTATTTAGTTTTTTTTTGTTATTTTCATTTGAATACGTATGTACATAAATTAGTGTATTTACCAGAGCATTATTATATTTTGTTAGTGGGATTATTGATAAATTAGAATAAGGAATGAAAATATCTGAAAAGCCTATATTAGGGTGTTCCTTTAAATACAGTAAAGAGTTTATTTTTGAGCTTAATTAAAAATAAATAAATAAATAGATAAAAATAAAAATAAAAATATATATACATATATAGATATTAGTGTTAGAAAAAATTTGTAATTATAGACTGATAATTAATAAATGAATTGTATGTGTTATTAAACATGAAGTATTAGATATATTTTAAAGTGAGACCATGATGTCATAGGCCTGTGGACTTTGGTTGGGATTGGCGATACGGCAGAGTATTTCTCGATGGTTGGGTAGGGGAGAGAAGAGAAGCGTATATATGGCTTCTCGGGGTGCGAAATATGAGTTTCCTTCCACTTTATCGTCCGTCCTTCATTCATTAAGGTGTATTTGGGGAAATAAATTTTGTGGGGTACTTTCTGTCGTCTGTATAAAAAAAAATGTCCATGATTTTTTTTGTATTGTTCCGGATTTGGAATGAAGTAGGGAGCAAGAACCACGCCAATCCGACGAGCTTGAGTCCCGGTTAAAACTAGCATGCACAGCTCCGCTACAAGCAAACCTACCCGGTAAAGACTACATTACAAAATGGTGCCCAACGTGGGGCCCAAAAATACGTTTTGGGTTTCCCAGTTCTTGTTAACACATTAAACATTTACCAGAGTCAGGAATTAGTTAAATTGGCCAGTACCAGGTTTGTCTAACCGACCAAGGTAATGTTTTGTTTTGAGTACTCACGAGCTTAGTATTCGGAATATGCATTTAGATATGAGCGCATCTGGCATACCAATTCTGAATGTGGGTTAAAATTTAATTTTGAATTTATCAATATCCTATCTTATTGGAATTGCAGACGTCGATTCACTATCAATCCCGCAACTGTTAAGACAGGAAAAGAAACTGATAGCAGTTAGTTATTATATTAACTAAATGATTGGGGATATAATTTAATCAATATGGAAAATCAAAAGCGGACAAATTATAATTTGTAATAATTATTGTTAATCGATTCCAATTGACTAAATTATAATTATGCAATGCTACCCTTGGCCTTGTACTTCGATATTAGGAAACTCTTGTTCAAACCCCTATTCCTTTCTCAGGTCTATGATAATCACTCATTGTCTCACATAAACTACATTTAATAATTATTATACACACATACATACATACATATTTTTTCCGATTTGGTAACGTCTTACTATTAAAAAGGCATACAAGTTTTTCATTGTATAGACGACAATTTGAATACCTACGGTAACCAAAATTCGTAGGGTGTATCTGAAGCATGGCAGTCTTGCATAGCAATGAAAATTTGGCTCAGCTTATTAATCCGAACACGGTATACAGTATCTGTAATGAGAAGATCACAGAAATAGAGCTATCGGTAACTCCTTGCGAACATAATTTTCATCGGGTTTGCAAAACTAGATGGCTTACTGACCTTGATTCTTGTCCCTTGTGTCGGCGTTCATGTGACACACACTCACTAAAGAGCTTTACTGAGCAAGATCCAAACAGTCAAAATGATATTTTTGCAGCACAGGGAGCTATTCCAAAAAACGATGGCGGTGGTCGCTTAACCAGGTCAAGAGCGGGCAATAATATATCTTTAGATTCGACTTATAATACTAATCGTGGTCGAGGGCGCGGTTCTAATCCTAATCGTACGCCACAAAATAATCAAAGTAATGTGAACCATAGTTTTATCCAAAATGTTATACAAGACAGTATGAGGTCGTATGAAGACCGGTTCTCCAGACATGTACGTGATGAAGTAGGACGTATGGTGTCAGAATCGCTTGATTCATATTTCCGTAATTTGAATATATCTGAGCACAGAACGCAAAATCAGACACCCAACGTTAACGCAAGAGGGGAAAATAATGAGCAAGGTACGTCGCGTAATAGTGGGCGGTTAACCGGCGATACCATGACATGTCTTCTACTGTGGTTGCAAAAGTTATCTCAGGGTGGAAATTAGTGTTCGATGGCTCCCTGAATGGCATATCAGTCGATGAATTTATATGCAGAGTGAACGCTCTTACCAACACAACACTACGAGGTGACTACTTTACATTATGTCAACACGTTCATTTGCTTTTTGAATCTAAGCGTTGGTTTTGGCGTTATCATCAGTCCGTACGTAATTTAGATTGGATAGATATTTGCGACTGCTTGCGAAACAATTTTAAGGATTTCCGGTCAGACTTCGAAATAAAGGAATCGATACGTAACCTTAAACAAAAAGCTAGTGAATCGTTTGAGAGCTATTTAGATAGCGTGCTTAATATATCAGACAGCTTAAGGATCCCCTTGTCTGAAAGAGAACTAGTAGACATAGTACTCAGAAATCTTCAGCCAGAGGTTCGGTTGGAGCTTCTTCATTTAGACTTACATAGCATTTCAGACCTTCGCAAGGCTTGTAGACGCAGAGAAAATTTAGTGGCGGAAATTCAGCACCGGGGAAATGTACTAAAGCCTGTTGTACCGCAACGCAGGAATATTTCTGAAGTGGGGGTCGATACAGAAGAAATGGGAGATGATTTAGTTTGTGCTAGTGTTACCAACCAAACAACACGACCATTGACCGAAAAGGTTTGCTGGAACTGTGACGAAAGGGGTCACAATTATAAAAATTGTGTCAAGCCAAGGAGGGTGTTTTGTTACGGATGCAGCCTGATAGCATTTTTTCTACCCAATTGCCCGAAATGCAACGATTCGGGAAACGGGTTAAGGGATGTCAGCAACAAGCAAAGGCATCCCAGCAGCAAATCGGATCAGCGCAACTAGAGTCAAAAGTATCGATTTTGCAGAAGCCTGATTTTACGCAGAAACATGCTCCAAAACTTCACCCAATAGTTCCATTCCATCAGCGTTTGATTGCATATCAAAGCGCTCGAAATAAAATTTTCAAAAGGTCGCGTTCGGCTCAACGTGCGAGAAAATTCTGGTCATAAATAAAAGAGAAACAAAATAACCTTAGTTCGATTAGTTCAATTTTGAATAAAAGTAACGACATAAGGCCTTACGCTTCCATACAGCTTATGGATAGGAATATATTGGGTCTTTTAGACTCAGGAGCATCTGTGAGTTGCTTAGGGGCTGAATTGGCAAAAGAAGTGTTAGCTAGCGGAAAGTTGTTTAAGAAAATAAATTCAAAGGTGCAAACCGCGGATGGATCCCGCCAAGAAATTGTTGGCATAATTACATTAGAAACCTGTTATAAAGGTGAGGAAAAGAGGATTGAATTTTATATAATACCATCACTGGTGCAAGATGTGTATCTCGGAGTTAATTTTTGGAAGGCGTTCGGAATCGCAACTAACTTGATCAGCGAAATTAGCGACACAGACATAGATTCGAATTTGCATAGATTAACTAAAGAGCAACAGGAAACACTGCAGACGGCTGTTTCATGTTATCCAAATTTTGAAGAACATGGGCTAGGGAAAACTAAGTTATAATAATATCCCAACGGTTTTTACCCTCCATTCCCGCCCATCCGCACGAGGGGCGCAGTCCGCATGACGTACGGAACCAGTATTTTCAATTTTTGCGCCGAGCCACGATAGGCAGGAGTTTGTTAAGTGTCGAGATCTAAAACTGTTCAGCTACTGAACTAAATTCATCAGCCGATTTTATGTCTATATTTTAATGATTCATTTATTGAGAGAGGACAGTATCGATTTCTTAATGCTGAAAGCGGATCTGATATATCAAACGTGCTGGAATGAGAGTTAAAATCCTGGCATAAGCAACGGAGTGGGTCGTGCAATTCAAAATTAGTTTTACAAGCTTTCAGAAATAGGGGCAAAAGTGTCTTGATACCCGGGAGGGAACATTAAGGCTAACTTCGCCAAGAAGAAGCGGACTTGAAATTGAGCCTGTTAGTAATTTAACTATAAAAATTGTACCAAGCATTTGCCTGCGGCTGGAAAGTGTAGGAAGATTAATAAGTTTTAATCGGCTCGTATAAGGTGGAAGGTTATATTGAGAATCCCAACGGAAATTTCTTAAAGCAAAAAGTAGGAATTGTTTTTGAATTGATTCTATCTTGTCTGAGTAAATTTGATACATTGGATTCCAAACCACCGAACCGTATTCCAGAATTGGCCTAACTAATGTTGTAAACAAAGTTTTAGTGATATAGAAAATTAGGTGGAAGACCAAGAAGATCAAGTTTGTAGATGAGCAACGAGTGGCACACTTGGTCAAATGCTGTACTGAAGTCAGTATATATAACATCAACAGTTTTGCTTTCACTAAATGCTTTTGAGATATAGGATGTTAATTCAAGTAAATTTGTAGAAGTTGATTTGCCCTTGCAAAATCCATGTTGACTATATGAAATGCTAGAAGAGATAGAATGCGTCAACTGATTTGTTATAATTGCTTCAAATAATTTAGGAATTGCAGAAAGCTTAGCTATTCCCCGGTAGTTCTCCACTGAAGATCTGCTACCGCTTTTATGTAACGGGGTTATGAACGATTCCTTCCATATATTTGGAAAAAACTCCCTCTTTAAGAGATAAATTAAATAACGCTGTTAACGGCTCATAGAGATAATCAGAATAATTAATATAATATAAGAATACAAGTAGGGATCTCGTCAGGACCATAACTGAAGGACCGTTTTAAGGATTTCAGATAAACTACTACTTAGTTGAGCACGTTATCGACGTGGGTAACTCTAAACCAATAAAACAGCGCCACTTCCCTGTGTCTCCAGCAGTGGAGATATTAATGTGCGATGAAATCGATAGAATGCTTGCTTTAGGAGTTATCGAGGAATCTAACAGCCTCCCGGTGGTTCTTGTGCGTAAATCAGGAAAAGTACGTCTCTGCTTAGATAGTAGGAAAGTGAATACACTAACAGTAAAAGATGCTTACCCGTTACCCCACATGGAAGGTATTTTATCCAGGTTGCCTCGAGCAGAATATATTTCCAGTTTGGATCTTAAGGATGCCTTTTGGCAAATTCCTTTGAAAGTGAACTCTCGAGAGAAAACGGCTTTCACCGTACCTAACAGACCTCTCTATCATTATACAGTGATGCCGTTTGGTCAGTGTAACGCGCCGCAAACGATGTGCAGGTTGATGGATCGAGAAATACCATATAATTTAAAAGAAAAAGTTTTTGTTTATTTGGACGATTTGCTGTTAGTTTCTGAGAGCTTCGAGTCACACATTGAACTTTTGAAGGAAGTTGCAGCTCATATATGCAAAGCCGGTCTGACAATAAATATTTCCAAAAGCAAGTTTTGCCTAACGGAAGTTAGTTATCTAGGTTATATTGTCGGATCAGGAACATTAAAAACAGATCCTGGTAAAGTTGAAGCAATAGTGAACTACCCCGCTCCGAAAACTCTAAAACAACTGCGTAGATTTCTTGGCATGGCGGGGTGGTATAGAAGATTTGTTCCCAATTTCGCACAGCTAACTCATCCACTTACTGAACTTTTAAAAAAATCAAAATCATTTGAATGGTCCGATAAGGCTCCAGAATCCTTTCAATTACTAAAGACAAGGCTGCCCACTGCTCCATTCCTTACTAATCCGGATTTCAAGCAACCGTATATAATCCAGTGCGACGCGAAATTACACGGAGGGGCGCGGTTCTTGCTCAAAAAAATGACGATGGGGATGAAATACCGGTAGCATATATGTCGCAGAAGTTGAATAAAGCACAACAAAATTACTCAGTTACAGAAAGGGAATGTTTGGCAGCTGTATTAGCGAATAAGAAATTTCGAGCGTATGTGGAAGGACAGACATTCACTATAATCACGGATCACGCTAGTCTGCGTTGGCTGATGAAACAGAGTGATCTCAGTGGGCGGTTGGCCAGGATTATATCGTTCAGTGCAAGAATATGTTTTGTATTGTAATTTGTGAGCGCGAATTTCTATCAATTCCATTATTCATAAATATATCACTACATTCCGTATTTTATTTCGAGAACTCGCTAGAATCGTCCTTCCCTTGTATGTACTATCCATTATTTAAATAATTTTTGTAAATCTCTACATTTGCTTGTAATCAATTTAGTACTTTTTTCAATTTTGTTTCTTTTTGCTTACCCTGTAAACTTCTGTCATTTGAGTAATAGATTGAAGGTTAATACAAAAAGTGACCTGTCAATAGGGCGGAACGGTTGAGAAAAAGGAGGTCAGATGCAACATCCGCTTGAGAGATCGTTCTCTTTTACTGATCATCACTTGCGCGAACTAGACGCTCACTAAGGAAAAATTTAGTAAGAGTCAACACGTGATTCGAAAGAAATTTATAAAGTATTTATTTTAATAGTTTGCTGAGTATTTAAAACGTATTAATTGTAAGAAATAGCTGCTGGTCATTTGAAGGCCCAATAAATGGGTTGATCAGACTCCAATACGACTATTTTCCATCGAAACATCGCCGGTACAGCCAAAAATATTGAAAGGAATTCTTATCTGACTGTGCGTGGGAGTACCTAAGTAGCCACATTAACTAAAAGGACACGAAGTGTGGACCGAACTTATTCCTGATACCTCGAGGACCCATCGCGACTCTACGTAACCATACCAGGTCCGGTGCAGCACCCTGGACCATGCGGTATTAGTTTTATGCAC